CAGATACCCCTGTCGAAGTGTCGCGAAGTCTAGGATTTCGCCGTTACTGCTGATAGACCCCTGACCCGCGACAATACAGTATATGTTGCTGAAATTTGTAGATTCTTGATGCAATTGACACAATTATTTGACGCAATTAATTGAATCACTATTAAAACATATAAATAATTGTACACAATGTCAATTTGGAGGTTTTGGAACAAAACGACCATATTGGAATTAGTGTTCTGGCATGTTGAGAAGGTCAAATCTGATATCATTTTTTTTTGGTTATATTTAAGTCTAACGGTGAGGCATGATTTTTGTTTTAGGCCACATTTTCGATTTTTATTATATATTAGAAAATAAGCCTAACGAAAATAAGTATATCAGGAATTGATTCTACAAGGATTAGCGTATTAATTAGCATATTAATTAAATAAGTCTAATGAAATTAAATCTAACGGTCCTTATTTTCCCATAAATAAATAAGTCTAACGAAAAAAAATAAGTCTAATGAAATTAAGTCTAACGAAAATGTCTAATGAAATTAAGTCTAACGGTCCTTATTTCCTCTCCATAAATAGGTCTAATGAAAATTTAGCAAATGCCTATTAGATATTATGCCCAAAATTCTGGCTAAAATTAAGATAAAGTGCTAGCCGAAATGATCTATTCATTACTTTCTTGTATCTTTGATCGAAGCCTGTCATAATGCTGAATAACATAATAACATCTGACATGATCTGGGCATCGACCATAAGCAGAAGAAGTTGGCTTACCACAATCAGAACATGGTATCCGTTGTTTTGATTTCCAATGAAATTGGCAACCTTTTGGGCAAATGCAAGGCCTAGCACATATTTTTCCGGAATTATGAATATAGGAGCATGAATACTCACCAATAATTTTTGAATATTTGATATAAAATAATTATTTAAAGAAAAGAATTTTGTATAAGTAAAATATAGCGCAAAAGTTAGAGCTAGTACCTATGGTTAGAAAAGATAAGAAAAATCGAACATGTAATAGGTGTGGTAAGACCGTAGCAACACCTCAAAAACTTCGAGAACATCTTGAACGTAAGAATCCTTGTCGGCCTATTAATCAAATACCTGAAATAGTATCCGAAACTAGACAAGTTACAGAGGTTAATAACTATGATACTCATCAAACTTTGCCAGTAGCTAGCAACAGCAAATCAGAAATAAAAGGTCTTAATGACCGATTACCTGGTGAAACAGTCTGGAAATGGGGTTAAAGATTACGAAAAAGAATTATGTATTTGAGTGATAAGGATCGTGGTCAACCAAAAAATTTAGCAGAATGCAAATCACTTTATGACGAATTATTGCAAATGGATGATGAGGCATATGATGATATAGAACCTATAGAAAGGATGAAAGAAGAACAAGAATTCTTTGGAGAAGTTGAAGATGAGACAAATAGGCAAGTAGAAAATAAGCCTACTAAAAATCAACAATCCAAAAATCTAACTAAACCATCTAGTAATAAGGATGAATCTTTGATTAATAAAGAATTTGAACGTCTTAGTATGATTACTGGAGATAATGAGAGGGATATAATATTTCGAGAACAAAATATGGGTCCAGCATTAAAAAGACGAGTTGTTGCTGTACATAATGCAAAAGTTTCTAGATATCATCCAGATAATGGAAGTGATATCAGAAAAATATTAGAAAGTCAAAGAAAACCATTTCGGGAGCTACTTGAAAAAGAGTTTGATAAACGTGGGCAATTCAAATTTGCATTATGCTCTCTTACAAAATTCCTTGTAGATAACAAACCAGGTGAAAAAGAAAAAGATAAGAAAAAGAACACACGAATGGACTGGCTTAGAAATAAACAAATTATAGTATACAATAGAGCCGAAATTGATGATTACTTAAGCAATGCTTTTGAACAAATTATAAATCAAGTAGAGGAGAGAGGAGGTAAGTCTAATGCTTGAGAATATATTTGGGTGGTAACATTGTATCTTGCGGAGTTATTAGTTTTAAAAAAATACTATAAAGGTGTATTACAAATGCTATTTAATATTGACTTTTTTTCACATTTATTGTATATATTTTCTAATTATCTTGATTTTGTAAAACCACCTGTTGGATTTGATATAAATCTATAATGAAATTAGGAGCGGTAACAGCACCAGGGACCGTGATTACATATCCAACTGTGGAAGGAGCTCCACCAACGATAGGCGGATTCCAAAATACTTCTTGTACCGGGATGTTAACTTGATAATTAGCAAGACCTGGTCCTGTGCAAGCAGTAGGAGCGCTAGTGTAATAATCGAGAGTACCGAAGTTCCACTATAAAAATTTTGGTAAGTTTATATTATATATTAGATATTTATCATTTAAATTGATTGAACATCAATGGCGTGCTAATCTTACTTCTTCATAATATACTCCTGGCTGTCCTGTTACTGCTATGTGTCTTCCTTGTATTGGTGTTGCCTGACGTGTCCAGAGTCTGGTCTAAGATCAGAAATAGAAAAAAAACAAAAAAAATTCGAAATCATTGAATAATAAACAGGTCGTGTAACACATACAACCATACACCGATCCAACTGTCCACCTGCATTTCGTGTAGCTTCTTGATCGTAAATTTTAACTCCAAATACGCATCTTACGTATTCCTGTTGCATCCAAAGACTACACTTTGCATTCCATCTCCCATACTTTTGAGACACAGCAATTTCGCACATTATACGTGCGTGTGGTCTTCCCTATATAATTACTTTATGATGAGACCAGGAAAGATTAAGAAAAAAATCTATTACGCCAGAACAAACCGATTTATCAACAGGGGGGATCTCAAGATGTCGCCGGGGAGCTCTTGGACGCCTTGCACGGCCCAATCTACGTCGTGGAGGTGGAGGAGGAGGAACAGGCGGTTTTGGAATAATGTTTAAACTTGGATATATAGCGATATCGGGTGCCGAAGGCCTCCCTCTTCCATGTGGACGATAATGAGCTATTATAGAACACAAGATTATTAAATTGGTAACAAGCCTAAGTAACTCAAAGGAATTTTTACCTAAAGAACCTGCAACATCTATCGGAGGATTAATAATGTTACCTCCGTTGGGAACTTTAAAATAATCTTGAAGCTGTGTGACAACTAATCCATGCTCTGCCTTTTCCATTTCAACTACAAATACGTTTCCCATTGAATCAATGTCGAATTTATATCCGCGTGTATTGTGGCGTTCAAAGAAAGTATCAATTTTTTCCACCGACAAATTCCAGCCTATCTGTATAGGAAGACTATCATACGTGTCAATACTAGGCGGAACTTAATCCATCTGTGTGATGTTCACTTACTTTTTCTCTCTCGAAGACTTTTTTACGCTCTGAAAATTCTTTTCTAGGGGTATAATTCGATTAATCATTTTGAAAAAGTTATTGTCGTTGATTTGTATTTTTTCATTTAAGTGTCAAGGATTACGCAATCATAAAGTTACGCAAAATACGTAATTTGAGTTGAACTTATTCTTCACATGACCATAAGATGAATCTTGCACATATTCAAAAACAGAAAATCGCAAATTGTCCAAGGAAAATATATAATTGAACAATGCTAGTTAAGAAATAAGACCAAGCTCTTTAAGTCGTCGAGGGATCACTAAATAAGGGTCTTCATAATACCATACTTCGATAAGTAGTATCCGATTTTTAACACAAAGTTCTTTTTTTAGCTGATCTCGTGCAAACTGCTTTTCGAAATCCTTTTGGTTTTTGTGGAAGAAAGCATGGAAACATTCATGTTGTATACCTTGAACTTCGATAGCAAAACCATATTGTGGATAGTATGTATCAAGTTCAAGTCCTAACGAATGATCAGGCGTTTTTAAGAAATCTGGTCTACGGGTATCAGACGGTGGGCCAAATAATTTCGTTGCTACTTCCCTGCAGAGTTCTTGTCTCTTCCATGGACAGAATGGACACCATGTACCTAAATTTTTTACTTTATCCAAGGTTGCATACCATTCATGCTTTTTTTCACACTGCCATTTTAATTTTGTATGCGAACTGTTATACGTTTCAGAAAGACATAATCCTTTATTTTTAGTTGCAACTTTTCTAGCTTGCTCAATAGAAATTTTTGCGTTACCTGAACAGTGAGGACACCATGTATCCAAATTCCTTACACATTTAAGATTTGTATACCACTGATGGCCCTCGTTACATTCCCATAAAAGCGAAGAGTTGATATCAATATATTTTTCCGATAAACATTTTCCACCTTTTTTAAGCGCAATTTCTTTAGCAATATTAATATTAAGTTTAGAACATCCTGCACATTGAGAACACCATGAATTTCGATTTTTTATTGTATTTAAAACTGCATACCAAATATGTCCTTGATGACATCTCCATTGTAACGGAGTATTATTATTAATATACTTATCCGATAAACATTCGCCGTTCCTGGATTGAGCTATATTTTTAGCTAAATCTAAGCCAACTCTTCGAGTATCTATTACACATTTAGGACACCAAGAATTGTGATTTCTTATTCTTTCTAAAGGAGCTTGCCATTCATGTTTTTTTGCACATTGCCAGAAAAGTGGTGTATAACTATTTATATATTTTTCAGAAAGACAAATACCACCTTTTTTAAGCGCAATTTCCTTAGCAATATCAATATTAAGCTTAAAACATCTTATACATTGTGGACATCAAGTACCTCTCTTTATATCACATAAAGTAGCATTCCATTCGTGAAATTTAGCACATTTCCAATGTAAAGGACTTTTATTATTGATATAATATTCAGAAAGACATTGTCCACCTTTTTCTAAAGAGCATCAATTAATGTCAATTTGCGTCTCATTTTTTTAGAGGAAACTTTATATCATCTATCCTAATGTTTAAAATCTAATTATTAAGTATCCATCGAGGGGGTAATTGTACATTCTTTACAATTTGGAGTTCTTCTCTTACAAATGAGCGTCTAGGACCATTGTAAAGCTTATAGAGAACTGGTTGATTTTCTTTTATCAAATAAGAATCGATTGTAAAAGTTTCGGGAGACCAATTGCAATCAGTTACCCTTTTTTTCCAACCTTCTAATTCACCAGGTTCTAAAAGATGATGAATTTCTACATAGCTTGGTAAAAGAGACTCGCTGTAACCAATAGGTCTTTTATACTTAACTGCAGGTTTGGCTATTATTTTTTCACCTTTTAATGCGCGTTTTACTGCCTCATTAGGAGACATACCTATTAATGAAGTAACAGAATTATTAAAAGTATCATCATTTATACGAAGACCTTTGAACCAATCTCTAGATCTCTCATATAAAGGCAAATGAAAATCTACAGCGTCTTGACGGAAAAAAGCATGTTTTTCAAATTCTTGATGATCTCGTTCAGCAAAAGCTACACCACGTTTAGAGTTGGCATACTGAATTTTTATATTATGACTAAGTAATAAATTCTTACACTCACCCATATATTCAGTACCCCTATCACTAATAAAAGTGTTTGGATAGTTAAGAGGATCATTAGGATCATTGTAAATTTTCTGGATTGCTTTAGCCATTTGTGCAGAAGATTTATCAGTTAATGCAAAACTACATCAAAACTTAGTAGCTACATTTTTAATTACACCCCTATACTTATAAATTTGTTTACCTATTTTATCATGGGGCATAGGTGAGTATCGGACTGGTATACATCGTTTAAATCTTGTATATCATTAAAAGAGGCATATTGAATAAATTTTGGACGTGGTTTATGAATTTGATATAAAGCTTGTTTTTCAAGCCATTCCTAACTTCAGCTAATGTAAAATCAAACCGGCATTATGTGCAACTTCATAAAGTTTTTTACTAGTTCTTTGATAACCAGAAGGATGGTAATAGATTTTTTGTAAATCAATAGATATATCAAATTTTCGAGATTCTAAAGGATCTATAACAATACTAGGATTACTCATCTTATTTATAGTAAAAATTATATAATTAAGAAGAAGCTCACCAGATCCATATACTCAATCTATAAAAGAACAAAACACTAATATGGCAAATATAGATCTTTTTATACTTATTAACCAAGGCTTGGATTGACTCGAAAATCATCTTAGAGGAGGTGGTATGCCATTAAATAATCTTATCAGAATTATCAAAGGGGTCTGTAGTTCTTTGAATACTGTCCGTCATAATTATCAAAATGCGTACCAGGATATTGATGACATCATCACTGAACAAGATAATCAAGACAATCAAATAAAGCAGTTACAACAAAATGTTAATAGATATAGACAACTTGATACACTTCAGCAAAATCATATTAACCAACTTACCCAGGATGGTATTACCTTGCAAAACCATAATCATCAGCTTATACAAGAACGTGATACTTTACAAAATCGTATAGAAGATAAAGAAAGATCTTGCAATTTTTGGAAGTTGAATGCTATCTATATTAAAACTCAAAAAGATAGACATATTAATTCATTGTTGCATAAACAATTTGTATTACAGCTTCTGAATAGATGAGTAAACCAGAAATTGAAATGGCAGTTACAACAATGTTATAATCATGGAACAATATTAGAGTATTGGTGAGATCAACTTATAGCGAGGTATGAAAAATGGAAAAATAAAACCCATGATGTTCGACAAACAATTAATTTACAGCAACAATTTTTTATATTACAAAATAACCCATTATCAAATCCAATTAATTTGGCTGCTATACAAGATGTTATGCATACAATTTCACTACGACTGGCTATATGACCAGATTATAATGAACAAGAACCACCACATACTTATTATGCAAAACTTAAAGCTATAAATAAAACAGCTAGACCTTTAGGTGTTGCTACTTTTAATGCTACAGAAAGAGTGAATATCATGAAAAGTAAAATAACAGGTAAATTTTTTCCAGTTCCAGCACAAAACCCCTATAATGCTAATGCGAATATTGTTATAAAAGCAGAAGTTTATAACTGGATGTATAATAAATATTGAGAAACAATAATTGGAAATCAACGAGCATCTTTAAAAGCTCTTATGAATGAAAAATTCACTTCATTAGATACAATTGATACTTATGAAAAAAGAATTAAACCTTATATATTAGGTATTGATGATGCAGAAGTATTGCTATATCTTTATGATCATTTACCTTCTAGATTAAAAACACGAACTAGAATAACAAATCCAAATACTGTAAATAACTTCTTTATGCAATTAAAGATTATTTTGTTAGAGTCTGGAGGACTAACAAGTAATTTTGAAAATGAAAGCAATAGTATTTCTATAAATCAATTTCTATAAAAAAATATCGCATTAGAAAAATTTGCCAATATTGCAATACGATTGGGATATTCAGGTGATTTGTCAGACCCACAGCAATATATAGTGGTTTATATACTATGGTGGAAGTTATACAAACTGATTAGATATGAGACTATTGAATCACACCTAACACGTTGTTGTTTTATTATTATGAAAAACTTGCATGTATTAAGACAGATACAAAAAATAAAATTGTAAAATACATTGATATAACATGATGCAAATGTAGATAAAAAAAATCTAGTTATTGGAAGGAGTTATATAAACATGAATTTCATTTTCATTAGGATTCCCATTAAAAAATTTAGAAATTCTAACCATTGGTTTCACAGACTCACCATTTGGGGTTAAACTAAGTTTGATTTGAGTAGAAGGAATAGTATCAAATAAAGGTGCCAACCATTTTTTTACAATAGGTTTAAGGGCATCAACCTTTTTGTCTTTGAAAATTTCAATCGTAAAAACTTCATTTTCATTATTGTTTCCATCAATTTGAAAGTTAAGACTAACAATGTCTACCATTTCACTGAAATCTTATTTCACAGATCAATCATGAATAGAATCTTTACTTACAAACTTTATTATTCATAATATATACCTTAAGTAAAAAATGGGAGAATGTAAGAAATTTTCAGAAGAAACAACTTCGCCTGAGTAATGTTGTTAACTATACAATGTAAGATAAATTCAGCTTATCTTTATATGCTTTATTTATTTCAAAACTTACTAGAATGATCCAAACTTTATCAAGCAAATCTTCAATTTATAGAATATTGAAATCATATAAATACCAGAAATAGATAAATCTTCAAATCTGTTACAATTCATTCTTTATAGAAAGTGTTATCATATGTAACTAAATACCAAGGTCTATAAATATGCAAGTGTTTTGTCATAGACGCATGAATGAGACCCCTTTTGGTTCGAGATTGCTTCTATAAGTCAAAAGTTGATTAACCCATGTAGATCTCAAAAATTGTAAAGATTTCGACTCCTTATGACATAAGTCCCTTGTTACATGCACTAATAGAGATTGTCTGGTTGATCTTTCACATTACCTTTTTAAGTTTCATTTTTCGTATACTTTTGTCATTGGTGCGAACCAGTCTCTGGTTAAAGAAACACTTAATGAAAATGATAATTTATGTTATATCAACTTCTATACCGATTCTGATTCATCGATTTAATACGTAATTTTTACTAATACTAATATCAATTCTTACCCTATACACTTCTCCAGATAAGAAAAAACATGATTTATATTCAAAAAGATTATAAAGAGAATGTGTTTGTCATTCTCTATCAGCAGTTTTACCCAAAATCATATATTGCAGGAATTTGGAATTCCCAGATCGTCAAGATCATTACTCCATGGGAGAGATCATTAAAATTAGAGAGTTTTCTACAGTGTGACTAATCAAAGAAAATGGTAAAAATTACTTGGATTTTGGAATAGATTTGACTGCTCCAGATGATATAAAATACAAGGTTTTTTTCTTTTGTAAGGTGAATACCAATAACATTTTCTACAACTAATTCAAAGCAGTATGCAACTTTTTTAGTATACCGTTATTTAATTAAGACCATAAAACATATTTTACTTACTACTGTTTTATATTTAGGACATAAAAATGAATAGTTCAAACAGTACCACCTCCAATATCAATTATTCTAGCAACTTATAATTTTCCGCATCAAGAACCAAACAACGAAGCTATCCAAGACGTTCTTTATCTTGTAAGTAATGAAACATTTTATTTTTACGGTTTGAACATGACTCGAAGAGTCTGGGCTCTACCCATAATCTTGTTATAGACAACGTCACACTGTGGCTAATAAAACTATGTCTTTAATAAAAATTAGATCAATAGACCTGAGGAAGAATGTCAAAACATAATTTAGAACGCCATGAGAAAAATGATAATAATAATTGGTCAAATTCTGGTAAATGGAGGAAAATGTTAGATCAAGCGTATAATTGATTTATCTTTTCTGAAACATATTTTTTCTTATCTGTATGCCATTTGGCAACTTTTTTTTTTATGGAATAAAACATATGACATCGCTCTCTAGGGCCATTATAATGTGATGTAATTTCGTAGTTACGATGCGATATAATTATAATTGATTTTTCTTTTTTACTTTGCAACATTACATGCTTTTATATACATGTGTATCTTCTGATCCCAAACTAGACAAAGAAGTGCTCAAGTCAGAAGTATCAGAGTTAGTATCTGATTCTAATTTTATGATGGAATACTTGATCTTATTTTTCTTGCTTTTATTTTGCTGTAAGCGAGAATCAGAAGAACTCAACTGATTATTTTGTAGCAATGAAGCTTCGCTTCTATCAAATTTATACACATGTACTATTATGAATTTTTCTTTCCTTTCGGTGAGATTTTTGATATGAAGAGTTATTCTTACCCAACCATCATCCGCGTCAGTTACAATTTCTGCTCTATATGTCTGGAGCTCTTCATCATCATATTTTTGACCAATGAACCAATCAAACCCTAACATAATATAATTGAAAAATTTGGGATAATGTTTTATAATTAATACCTGGGTTGGAATTGTAATAGATATATCTTGTTTGCTAAATTGACTACATTCTGCACTTGAAGTAAAAGTAAACTGAATCACAGTCCATTAGAAAATAATCCAAGTGTGATTTTACTGAAATATGGTGAAATGGAGATAAAAAAAATTTGATTTACTGGAGAGGAACTTCATCTATTTCCAAATCTTACTCCTTAACAATTGCATAAAATTTTCGTAAAAAATATATAGGTCTGATTCTTCTCCCTATATTTTAAATAAAATTTGTTAAATATCTATTTATACATAGAAAAGATATTTTATATATTCAAATGTATCTTCTCCAAAATTATATAAGTCCAATGGATTTATATAATTACCTTTTTCAATATTGGTCAATATTGCATTTTTAATTTTTTTACTGAAGATCATATTTTTATTTAATAAATATCTTTCTACTTTTATGAGCTCATTAAATGTTATTAATGCATTATCACCTATGGACTCAATTTCATTATCCAAAAACAATAAAACTTCTTCTTTATCATTAATATGTATATCAATTTTTCTATAGCATCTGTCTAGTTTCTCCAATAAATTATAGTATTTTGTATTAAAGTTTTTACGTCTCTTATAAAGTTCATGACAAATTTCTTTATATCATGTGCAGTTAATTTGAATACAGTTATCTAGATCCTCTAATGAAAGTTTTGAGACGATTTTAGCAATAGTATCTGGAAGTGTAAGTGGGTTATATGTATGTAGGGCTCCTAACGATACCACTTCGATACCATTTCGATACCAGTTCGATACTTAAATTTACTATAAAAACATATGAATAGGTCATAACCCATATATTAAATTTACTATAGATTGATACCATTTCGATACCAGTTCGATACCAGTTCGGTACTTTTTCGGAACCCTATATGTATGTATATTGTGTATTCTCAAATGTGTGGATTTTATTAAATAAGACTTTTTATTTAATTGTTATATTTTTTACTTAAAAATTTTATCCTTTAAAGTTATATTCGACAATATTTTGAAATCATACTCTTTCTTATATTCAAGTCAATATATTGAATATTTATTACTCATGAAAAAAAAATCTTAATAATTATATTAGTTTCACGAAGTTTGGCTTACTTGGTGAAATAATTAATGGGTTATTTTATTATTGGTATTGAGGTTTAAGCTTAACTGTCATTGCTCTTTTTTCAGCTTCTTCAGGAGATATTCTGGATGAAACCATATGCTTATATGCAAAAATTCTTCAATGACCGTATGGAAGGGTTCATATTCCATCTAATAGAATCCAATACTTATTATCATATGGATTTAGCCCGATTTTATTTACTCATTCCAAATATATTTCGTGATCATAATTGCGGAGACCATACATATTATGTCGGGTTAGCTTCTTAGTCCTGAGACATTCCAAAAATTTATCATGCCTAAGTTCTCTCTTAACTATACATTTTTTAATGCCTTTAGCCTTTTGCATTTCATGTTTTTTCTACCAGTTTTTCATACCTTAAGATTTTCTAGATTCTTCTTTCTCTAACTCTTTTTTGAAATCTGTATCTGTTTCAGGAGTTTTTGAATCATGTCCAGCTGGAAGGACTGAATACATTTTTGGTTTCAAACATACTGACTCACCTATTGGATCCCTTATTGTTTCATCCTTCATTAAGAATAAATCTCTTAAATAGTTGAGATCAAAAATATCTGGTCTTTTGGCTCGATCTTTATAAATGTCTTCAATTTCTATCCACATAATAAGTGAGTCTGTATCTGTATAAAGTAGGCGAGCTTTATCTCCATAGCGAGGTTTTATTTTATTTTTTTTTTTGCGAGGCACTTCTCAAATTGTGATCTTTATTAATTGTTGATTTGATTTTTACAGAGATAACTAAGT